GAAGAATCACCCGGGTGAAGTTCGATTTCCACCGTCTCGGCCTCGGGCTCCAATTTCTCCCGGGTCTCTCCCTTTGTGATCTCTTGGGAGATGACGTTGACCCCCTTAGTCATCTTTTTAACCGCCCGGGCATAGCACTCCCGGGCATTCCTCTGGTCGCCCCTCACTTCTCCCACACCGCCCGAAGTGTGGAACTTCATGCACAGGTGCGGCATGGAAATCACCGCCCCGACCTTGTTGATGCCAGGCCTTCCAAGGATGGCGTTGTGGACGCATTTGATGTCCACAACGATGAACCGCATCCTCTTCCACACGGTCTTTTCGCCCGATCCTAGTTCGGCCGGTAGAACTATGGACCCCTCAGCTTCCACTGTGTCCCCCGTGAAACCTGAGAGAGGAGTTTTGAGGGGTTCAAGTTGTGTCCGACACAACCTGAGTTTTTGGAAGGTCTCCAGGTACAGGATGTTGACACTGCTGCCGGTGTCAACAAGTACCCGGGCGACGTCCACCCCGTTGATGTCCATGGTGATGACCAATGGATCATTGTGATCCTCACCGGTAGGAGGGAGGTCCCAGTCAGTGAAGACTATTGGCTCCCTCCTGGGATACTTACGCCTGGCCGGTTCGGCATTCACCTCTCCAACGTAAATGCTGCGAACCCAATTTTTCCGCTGCGCGGCTGAATCTCCGCCCTCGGGTCCGCCAAAGATCATCCTAATATGCTCTTTGTCAGGGGCAGGCTGTTGCTCCCTTTGCCGGTTGTTCCTTTGCCGGTCATTGTCCCGGTCACTTCCCTGGGTCGCTGGCCTTACCCATTGATGGTTCTTTTCCTGGGCTTTCTGCAGATAATCCTTGCCCAGTTCTCCGCTGTCTATCATCTGCCGGATTACCCCCTTAACACTCTTGCATTCGGAAGTGCTATGGGAATCTGACCTGTGGTACGAACAATAGGTGCCCGACCACTGACGGCCAGTTTGACCGGTAGGATTGTCCGGAGGATTGACCGGTGCTTTCATGATCTCCTGGCATTCTTCTGAATTGACCACTCGGACTACCGGGTCATAGTGGTGCCTTGGCCGGCTGGGTACCGGCACTTCTTCCTTCTTGACTTGCACCGGCTTAGGCTTGTAACCATGCTCGGCTTCTTTCTTCGCCCGGAGTTTGAAGGGGCATCGGAGCTTGAAGGGGCATCGTTCCAGCACCTGGAAGGGCGAACGGAAACATGCCGGGGAGGAAAGGCATTCCCCCATTCTGTTGGCACATGGCCATGACCTGGCCAAAGCCCTGGATGGCTTGTAAGTTGGCTGGGTCATTCATGAACTGGGTCATGCTTGGTGGAAAGGTGACCCTTGGCCCAACGGAAGGGACGGGGGCCGTGAATGGGCTGACCATGCTGGGTGTTGGGACCGAGCTTAGTCCCAACGGCAAAACCGGAGTTGAAACGGCTGGCAAGGTAGCACCCATGGGGATGCTGGTACCTTCCGTGGTGGCTTGCACCTGAGCAGAAGTAACGTTGATTTGCTGGCTGGAAGACATTTTGAGTGGTGTTTTTGTGGGTAAGTTTGTGTTTAGAAGAGAAGAAACCTTAACGGTCCCACGGGTGGCGCCAAAAATGATGGTGTAAATTACTTGACCGGTCAAACTATACTAGACCGGGTCTAGAATAGTTGGCTTGATTTCGTAAAGTAAAGAAAGTAAAAACACTCGGAACGACCGGTAGGACTTTAGGTGGAACACCTGTAGCCCGAATTATATTAAAACAAGGAATGCATGGTCACTTTTACAAGGGAGTTTAGAGAGAGTGAATTTGGATCCCCTTCTTCGAGGGTTACAAGAGGTATATATACTAAGTTGGGGGGACAGGACCACGTGCGCCCACGTGGGGGCACGCTGCCACTGGGGTGTGAGGCGACTAGTTCTGAGCAGCCTTGTTATCTTGCGTGGGGGGCTGCGCCTTTGTCGTGTTCTGGTTCGGAAATATTCCTTCAGCATCTCCGCAACGCCAACCACTACAGTCCAAGCCTCTTTTGGATTCTTCCTGCCGACACTCTCCGATATTCGAAAACTAGACCGGGTGATCCTTGAGGGTTGGTTTGGCTAACTTCGGAGGATGAACTTAGGCGATGGAGTAGTTTGACCGGTATACTAACCCGAAGTGTACCGGTCAACTTTTCGGTCAACCAGCCATCCCTTTGCTGACGATTCAGATCTTCCTTTCGAGTTCGACTTCTTTGACCGGTCAATTTTCTGATTCCGATCCTTGACCGGTCATGGGTGAAATACACCCATCACCTCCGACCTATCATTAAGTCCCTCACGCGTCTCGTCAATCATTACAATTTCATCGGCAGAAATCATACACTAAGGCACCTCCCCTTTAATATCCTACATCAACACATCCAGCCCCAAGGAAAATAAGAAAGAACTAAGGGTGGACATATGACGTAAACCCATCTCTACCACCGACCAACAACAGTCAGGAAAAGAAATGATGAGCAACCGTCAAAATGTACACAGATGAGAGAGAGAGAAGTTCAGAAACTGTCAATGAAAAGAGAAGACATCATGTTCTCATTTTTTGGCATGCATGGAGAATATTGTGATACTGCAATGGATTGAAATATTTTAAAATAAACACAAAGGATCGTTACAGCAGAAGTGTGATCCGTATGAACTACCTGTTCCACTTTAACCGCGTCTTCACACCCACTTCCGGACATAACCATTTTAACAGACCGTGACTGCACCACATTCCCGACAGCTTTGGTGGAAACCTTTACAGTTTGACTGGGGTATTTTGCTGAAATATCAGCATCGGCCTTTATATGACTAAAAAATTGTTAGACTTCCGTAGATACCCAGAACTTAAATAAAAATAATCATCTCATTCCATAAGCCAAAAGTAACAACGGATTATTCTTAAAGAAACCTTAATGTTTATAGGCCTCGCTGGTCCATTGCAGGTGTCTTCTTTCAATCTAACACTATTATAATGCTCTCCATCATGATAAGAACTGCAAATAAATCACTCTTTCTATTTGTTACATATTTCATACTAATGCACACAGGATTCCCTTAGGTAAAACATACTCCATAGTCCTTGCAATGTTTCTGCAGGTATACATACTTGAGCAGAAAAAAACATGTACACCTCAAAAATTTTTGCTAGATATTCAGTCAAGCTTAAAAATAATCCTTCATATGGTAAAATTGTTTGACTATACATTACAAATAAAAACAATAAACTGAATAAAGGTGTTTAAAACACCAAAACTGACACAGTGTCAATTAGGAAAGGTTGTCATTTAGTTGTCTTCACAAGGTAGGAATGTAATCGAACATTCAAAACACTGAAATGCTATCTATCATGTCTTTCACTTACATAGTCTTACAAAAACGTTCATGCTCTAAATTCAAAATTTCCAACACTACACAACTATCCCTTGAGCCCCTTTACTCTTAGAAATCAATTAAACAAAGCAATGTAAGCTCTACGCATATAAAAAAAATTACTTACAGATGGATCATCTGAGCTTCATGGTTGTCAAAATTTTGTATGTACCATCGAGGCGACATGTGCTGTAAATAAGAGTGTTTAAAAGGAAGATATGATTTACCAATCAATCAAAAGTCATTTGATGGCATATCAGAGCGCCATGAGTGAAGAAACAGATTTAGTTGTCACATTAACACATAAGTCTGAAAGTTACTATCAAATTCCTACTCTACAAAACATAGATAGAAGTATGAGGCGGGCAGTGAATTACTCGGTGAATGCATATGTTACTGTGAGTAACAAGAGAAGCAGCTTGTAGTTCCATGTGGCCTGCCCAAGTCCCATCCTTTTCCATGGATTCACAATACTCAACAAACGGAACGTCGTCTTCAATAAAGGGCTCAAACGTCTCACGATTCCTCTGTGAAGTATATTTCCCCAGAAATCATCCCACTTCAATCAGAATCCATGTGAAGGCTAGAAAAATATCTTGACAGCAAATGCTATGAATTCAAAGAAAATGACCCTTGGTATTTGAAAAAAAAATCAAAAAATCTCAAGATGTTTACCCTGATGTATTGCACAACCATACTCCGATATTTCGCATGCTCATCCTCATCGCCTTCCAACTGATCAGCTACAGCTCTGGAAATTGTTTCTGGACTGTCTCAGTATTTCTGATCATGAAAATTAATCAAAAAAACATCACACAACAGAGTCTAAAATCGCAGACCTGAAGAAACAATTACCATCTGATGTCACTTGAACAATTTTTAAGCCCAAGGCGTCGAGCTGAGCACGAAATTCAGATATATCGACCGGCTTTCCATGTTTTTTGATCTGCTCCATCCAATACATTGATTATTAAAACACATTTCAAAAAAACATTATGAATGTCGATCGATACATATATGAAAAGGACCGGAATTAACCAACAAAATAGTATATGGTTGTCCGGAGTGAAGGAAAAAGATGAACAGCGGTCAATCGTACTTTGGTTTGCTTGTTGTTGCTAGGTTTCGACTTTTGATGCCTGGTCTTCGCCATGAATCTACGGCCACTCCTTCGGCAGCTCCCCGGCAATATACCGTACCGTCGTCTTAAGAGTTAAGAGGAGGAAGATGAAATTTCCCGTCGTCCGTGGAATTGACTGTTAGGTCAAGCGGCGACTGTGCAGATAAGAGGAGAAAATACAAGAAAAAAAAAGAGAAAAGAAAGAGTAAATTCCATAAAAGTCCCCAGTTATACATATCAAATACTCCATATTACTAATTTAGTCTTTCAATTATTATACTCCGTATGATTTTTCACAAATGGTTTTTTGTTAACATTTTTACTAAAAACCTGGATAAAATTGTATATTCATATTTCTCTCTCCTCAATTAAGCTTTCTCCATCCTCTCGTACTTTTTCCCAAACTCATCGCTGAGTTTAAAGCTCTAAACCCAAAATTGAAATGATCATTTCTCTCTCAATTATTAGTCTTCCTGTGGAACTTGAAATCAATATCAATAAGCTTTATGGATGAGTTTTATTGGTTAGTCTAAGAAATTGCAAAGAAATAAACATTAAAACTCATCCACGAAGGTTACTAGTTTCAAGTTTGGATTCCACAAGTTAGACAAACAAATGAGAGAAGAGTGATGATTTCGATTTTAGGTTCAAAGCTTCAAACTCAGCGACGGGTTTGGGAAAGGAGTGCGAGGGAGTAGGAAGCTTAATTGAGGAGAGAAAAGAGTGTGAATTTACAATTTTATCCACGTTATTAACGAGAATGTTAACAAAGGACCATTTGTGGAAATGAATATAATAATTGGAGACTAAATTAGTAATATTTGATATGTATGGACTAAATATGTAAAACGACCTATAACTAAGAACCTTTTATAAAATGCACTCAAAATAAAGTAAAGATACGGAGTATGAAAGTATGAGTGAGAGAATTGTTGGGATTAAAAGAATTTTTAATAATGTTAAGTTTTTAAAAATATTTCAAAGTCTTTCACTTCGTAATCAAATATAGAGTAGTCTTGACTAAAAAGAATAGGTTAATTGTGTATGGTATATTTAATTTTTTTTAAAAATAAATGAATTAAACAAAAAATGCAAGAGGACCTAAAAATAAAAATTACCGTATAAATTTTACAAGAATCAAAATATTTATTTAAACTGGGAGATAACTATTTGCAAAAATAATACTTTCACCGTCCTCAATAGATTTTGAAACTTGAATAATTTTATTTTCAATTTAATTTATTTAATTGTATGTGTAAAAATTAAAAGTAAAATTTATATGGAAAAAATTGCGTGAAAAGATTATACCAAACAAGAGGTGACAAGATTATACTCCGTACTATTTTTATGAAATAAGTAATATTCCCTTCATCTCTACTTTGATTACGAATTGGGAGTTACAAAGTAAAATTTCTCATCTTTTAAAATCATCTTATTTAAAAATTTGTATATCAAAAAGAAATAAAATTTACTCCCTCCGTCCCATTGTCTTTGTCCACTTATCTTTTGGCACATCATCCAATGCACTTCTTGGGACGGAGGTAGTACATATTAAAAACCACGTCAAAAATTCTATAAAACGAAAGTCGAAAGATTACAAGAATATTTTATTTTATCAAATATTCAATGAAAACATTTAAATAATACAAAAATTATCAAAAAGAAAGAAAAAAATTATAATCTATTTTGGAATGAAAGAAGTAATATAAGCAAACTAAATTGGATCATCTAAATAATGTCTAAGATATTTGAAAACGGATTTAGTAATTTCATAGACAATTTAATTAAAAAAGTTAAGATATTAAAAATTAAACTCGCTAATCCCATAAGAATCAAAAACATAATTAACATCATAATTTTTGTATGTTCTTGGCATGTCTCTTTTTCCTTTTACATCCTTTGAGATTCATCATTTTGTTTTTTGATTATGTAAAAAGAATAACAGTGGAAAAAGAAAAGAAAGAATGGTCAAATAAAGTAAGATGTGGGGTTAGGTAAAAAAGGATTAAAGGAACCTGGGAAATCGGCATCTTCAGCAGTCCCTAAGCTCTCATCATTCTGGGAATATTTTTTTTTCCTTCAGTATTCCTCTCTGAAGACGATGAATTTCAACTGCCCGTGTCGTCTTTGAGCCCCAGGCGCCGCCGTGTTTCGCGGCGCAGCACGACCCTCACAGGATGAACAGTCGCCGGAGATTCAACGGAGGGTCGCAACAAATTGCCTCTGTAAAAGGGCGTCTCATTCTTCTCCTGTCGCTGCTCATCTTCTTCGCCGCCCCTTCCGCCGCCTGCTCTGACGGCACCTGCCAGGTTCCATCCTCTGTTCAGATCCAGTGCAATTTTGAAGTTTTATTTTGAATAATTCAAATGAGTTTTAATTTTTTTTTTCTTTTGGGTATTTTTAGGTTCGGGATTCATGTGCTGCGGCCACCGACTGTAGCCCCGGGCTTTACTGCGGGAATTGCGCCGCAATGGGGAAGAATCAACCGTTTTGTATCAGAGGACAGGCAACTATACCCACTTCCATTGTGAGTTTCTTTACAAAAAAAACTGAATTTTTAATTCTTAATTAATTATTTTTGAATGTTTTTTTTCTGCTTGAAATGATGAGAGTAATGGGGTGGCAGATGAGTGGGTTGCCCTTCAACAAGTACTCATGGCTGGTGACCCATAATTCATTTTCTATAGTTAATGCTCCATTACTGACAGGACCTCAGAGAATCACCTTCACTAATCAAGAAGACAGTGTTACAAACCAGTTATTGGTATGAAGATGATATTAATTATACAGCTTTCACTTATAAGTTCATTTCAGTAGTTTTTAATCGAAAAGAGGAGACTCAAACTAGTAAGAAATTGAATTTTGAGTGATTTTATAATGGGTGTTTACAGAATGGAGTGAGGGGATTCATGCTGGATATGTATGATTTCGAAGACGATATCTGGCTCTGCCACTCTTTCAATCGCCAATGCTTCAATATCACTGCTTTTGTAATATGCCCCCTATCTCAATTCTCTCTTTATGATTTAACATAGGATTCACTGTTCGTAAATTGACTGATGGGTTTTCACAGGAGCCCGCGATTAACACGCTTAGAGAAATAGAATCATTTTTGTCTGCAAGACCTTATGAGATAGTCACCATTATAATTGAGGATTATGTACACAAACCTAGAGGTTTGAGCAAAGTGTTTAGCGACGCGGGGTTGGACAGATATAAGTTTCCGGTATCTGAGATGCCCACAAAAGGTCATGATTGGCCCACTGTAGATGAGATGGTTGCTAAAAATTACCGTTTGCTGGTTTTCACTTCTGATTCTTCAAAGGAGACAGCAGAAGGAATTGCGTATCAGTGGAATTACATGGTGGAGAATGAGCGTAAGTACTTTTAATTTACAGCTTCGCACTCCGTACTTCTGAAAGATTGCTACCATGCATATGTAGATATAACAACTAACAACACTAACCCCTCATAACTAGTTATATGAACTATATATACTCTTTCTCTTAAAAGTGAAATATACCTTTGGGATGGATGAGAAGGGGGAAAAACTGACCATAAATGGCAATGTTTTTCACTCCTCAGCTGGAGATCCTGGACTGCGGCCTAGATCATGTACCAACAGGAAGGAATCCAAGGGACTTGATTCAAGAAGTGCTTCTCTATTTCTAATGAACTACTTCCCCACAATTCCTGTTCAAGATGAAGCTTGCAAAGAGCATTCTACCCCACTATCTGATATGGTTAAGAGCTGCTATAAAGCAGCAGGGAACTTGATGCCGAACTTCGTGGCAGTAAACTTTTACATGGTAAATAATCCTACATTGCTCTCTGGATAAGTTACTGAATAGTAAAAAAAATGTTTCTATATCTCAACCGGGGAAAATAAAATTGCAGAGGAGTGATGGAGGGGGCGTTTTTGATGATCTGGATCAAATGAACGGGCAGTCTTTGTGTGGATGCAATACGATAACTGCTTGTAAGGTTCGTCTTCTTTCTTGAATCCACATTTTCAGCTTATTCCACTTATATATGCAGAATCAGCTCAGATTTTTTTTAGGCTAAACTCCACCAGTGGTCCTTCAACTTTATCAATTGTGCACGATTAGTCCTTCAAGTTTTAAAAGTCCATAAATAGTCCTTCAACTTTATGAGTTATGCACGATTGGTCTTTCAAGTTTTAAAAGTGCAAGCCCTCCAGATGAGGTCCTTTGACAGTAAATGTTAAAGGCAAAAATGGAATATTAGCTCCATATAATACAGAGTAGTCGTACCTAGTGGAATTTACTCGTATTATATGAAACTAGTATTTCATTTAACTTTTAATATTTACTGTCAAAAGGACTTGATCTGGAGGGCTGACGAGTACCTGAAGAGCTATTTATGGACTTTTTGAAATTTGAAGGACTAATGGTGCAGAACTCATAAAGTTGAAGGACTATTTATGGACTTTTGAAACTTGAAGGACCAATCGTGCACAACTGATAAAGTTGAAGGATCAATGATGGATTTTAGCCTTTTTTTTTAAATTTTATTACTACATATTGTTTGTTTATATAGGCATTAGATATGAACGTCTGAAGATTATTAAAATGCTTATCATCAAATGGTGATTTGGCAGGTAGGTCAATATGGAGTGTGCAAGGACATTGCAGCACCTAATACAACTCCAGGGACAAACAACAAGGGCGGAACTTTTTCTGGGTCGGTCCAAATGACCAGCGCCGCTGCGCCCATCATCGAATCCGCAACCACATTTTACATTTTCTTCCTCTTTTGCCCCTTTCTACTATGATCAGTGTTTCTCAGTGTTGAATCTTTCAAATAGACACTCTAGCTAACTTTACCCATTGATATATATATTTCCTCCAGTTTAAAGACAACAAATTACTTAGTATGTACCATCACCATATGAATGAATGCTGTTATTATGTACAGAAATGGATGGAGATTAATCAAGAAATGAGTAAGCCAGGGGCAGGTGGTTTCAGGGTTGTTTTGGGTAGAATCTGAAGAGATGGACTTATGGTGAGGAGGGCAATGAAGCAGTCCATGGGAATCCTCATTCCCCACACGTTAATGGATTCCAGTTTGCAGCATTTGTTCACCAGAGCTATCAGTCCTCTCTCGCTCACGTGCCGGCAACCCCACAGTACAATACTCTGTTGTCACAGACAAGTGTTTTTTTGAAGGCAATAAAAATAATGTAATAAGCATTACGAGGAAACCAACTTTTCTTTGGGGCACCATCCCTTAGTAAAGGTCACCTGTAAATGCGGGCAACTGTCTGAGATGGCAAACAAAGATGTGTCTGTTATAAAAGTCCCTCCAATGTTCAGATGTTTTAGGGAGACTGCCCTAGAAATCTGGAAAAAAAACCATGTACATTACTTTAGATAACATTTTCAAAATGTTGAAATCAAACTGATCCTTACCAGTTGAACAACACCTTGATCTGTGATCCCTGTCGTTCCCCACAGCGACACAGACGACAGTTTGCTTATGCATTTCGCCATGGACAATCGACACAGTCCATTGTCTGTTATTTGGCACCCCCAACGGCTTCTTGATCTTATGCAACAAAAAAAAAGAAATATTTGCACTAAATAGCACACTAAAACATGCTCCCTCCATCCATGTATGATCTTCCCATTACGCGTTACGAGGCTTGACCGACTTTATTTTCAATTTAATTAATTATAGGAGTAAAATTTTAAAATAAAATTTATATAGTAATAAACTACATGAAAAGTTCTACAAAACTAGAGGTGATAAGATTATATTATTTTATGAAATGACTAGTAAAATTGAGCAAATAAAATGAGTCAAGTTTGACCCTGTAAATAGTGTCTGAGAAGATCTATGGTGGACAGATGGAGTAAGTCATTTCTCTAAATAGCACGTAAATTGTTTTATTTCCTAAATAGTACTTAATAATGTCTATAATGACCAGTGATGACAAACATTTACTTGAATAATGACTAAAAGTACTACATTGGAAAAAAACACATGTAGTGCTATTTAGGAAAAGTCATTATGTTTTAGTGTTATTTACGTAAATTCTTCAAAAGAAAAAGCAATCAACCAACTCAATCAAAATCAAAAGCTTGAAATAATGATATTTTATACTCTAACAATAGAATAAAAAATAGTTTACATACATGTCAAGGTCTTTAAGGCTGTGAGCATGGAGAACGAGGCGAGTGGTGGAATCGTCGTCGACTCTCCAGCCGGAAAAGCTCAACCTCTCTCTCACCGCCAGCGAGTTCCGCACGCCCTGCCGCCATCTCCGGCTAACGCCGCTCGCCCTGAAATTCAAAAGAAAATAAATAAAAAAAAGAAAAAGGAAAACAGAGAAGCAGTCAATAATTAGACGAGGGGGAATGAAAGAGAGACTGAGCCAAATCTTTGAAGCAGGTGAGAAGAGCTAAGATGTGGGCGAGTAGGTCAACGGGGAGGCGATCAATCTCCGCCGCCGCCGCTTCTTCCCCCTCTCGTCTCTTCATCGATTTCGAATACTTCTTCTTCTCCGGCAGAGGATTATAGTTTTATGGTTTTCAGAGATGGCGCCTTTAAATGCAGAGGGAAAGATGAAGACTTCTCTTTTAGAAGGAGAGAGAAATGTGGAGGGGAAAAAGTGTTGTCATATACTCGTCACATGAAAGACATTTTCTCACAAATTATTTTCTCACCAGACCCTACTCTTGTGAGATTTAACTGGGTTATTATTGTTATTTTCTCACCTGATAAAATAAGAACAATATTACCCTACTTAAAAAAAGAGCAATAATAGAAAAAATTATTAAAATTGCACATTTTTTAAAGGCCAACTTTTTTTCAACTCGGAAATATTCTGCGGATGGAGCCGGAGGGAGTGTAAAATAAAAAAAAGGATAAATTTCATAAATAGTCCCTGATTTTTCGTGGTTTTTTATATTTAGTCCTCAATTCTGAAATACTACATAAATGGTCCTTAACTTTTGAAAACTATTTCATGATTGGTTCTTCAGTGGCTATATGCGGAAAAAAATATTGTCATATATGGTCTAAAGAGCTATATATGCAATAGTTTTTAAAAATTGAGAATCATTTATGTAATATAATAGAATTAGAGACTAAATATAGAAAACTATCAGTAATTAGAGACCATTTGTGAAATTTACTCAAAAAAAAAGTGAACACATTATTTTTTTGATTGATATATAAGAAAAAATATGTCTCATATCGAAATAAAACTAAAACAAATATATTCTAGTAGAGATGTGTTCACGTGATTTTGAGATATACACATGAAATGATGATAAGTTCGTTTCGTGCTTATTTTTCTTCTCATATTTAAACGTTTATGTTTGCAAATAAAAGTGAATCAAAACAAAAAAAAATTAATTTTTCATGAAAATATTCTAGTTTTGTCTTTGTTGCTCACCAAAAGTGTGTTCAAAATAATTCTGATTTTTTTGAATCACACTGAAATTCATCACCGCCAGCCACCAGAGTGTCGTCATCGATAACCGATGGTTGAGTAATCACACTGTTATACTACATTGTCATATTAAATTGTCATTGCTTTTCACCACACAATATATTTCAGAAATTAAATTTATTAATATTTTTGTCAAAATATTTATTTCTACATATAGTCAAAATATTAATTATGCAATAGTTCTCAAATATCAAAGACTACAAATATACTACATAGTTTCTTAAAATTGAGGACTAAATGAAACATATTAATTCCTCCATCCCAATTTAAATTATCTGTTTCAGTGTGCGATGCTAGATTGAAGTTATTTTCAAATCATTTTATATGAAAAATGATGTAGAATTAAAAAATAAAAATTACATGTTTAAAAACTACATCAAAAGATCTACAAAACTAGTGGTGACATGATTAAGCTATTTTATCAAATGACTAACAAAAATAGAGAAAGAAAATAAATAAAGTTTGACCATGTAAACAGTAAATATGATATTTAATTTGGGACGAAAAGACTATATAAAAACAATGTTTGCAAAAAAAAATAGAAGTTGAAACTTGTTTAGAATAAAAAAAAAGAGTACTGTGAGCAACATTGTTTTTATAAAATTTAGGAAAAAATGAAATTTTTATTTTCAAATATCTGAAAAAGTTTTTAAATATGCAAACGATTTTTTGACATCCTAAATTTTGGGTCTTCGACAACTGTCCACGCCTACCTTGCCTATGAACGGCCCTGTATGCTTGATTTGGGGCCCATATAACAAAATATTCTCCTGTTTATGGGCTACACCGCCGAGGCGCTAATGGGCCTATGCAAGTCGGGCGAATATTTTTATCTTTTACACCACAGTCCGAAAACCCACAAAAATGAAAAGTTCAAAAATATTGTCCCAACTGAATTGCAAGAATCTTTTTTTTCAACCTCGATCAATCAAAAGAAGCTGCCACGCTGGAAAAGTCCCAATCGATTAGTTTCAACAAACATTTACACAATGATTTTGTTCATGGGTAAAGAATAAAAAAGTTTAAGTTCTATATTAGAAAATGACTTATGTTTTAATCCTATTAAGTACAAATTTCACATTGTTCAAAAGATTCAAAAGGAAAAGAAAAGTAAATATGTTTTCTCTAATTTTTGTCACTAATGGGCTTATTAGCTTTTGAGATTAGTAGCAATTGATTAGTTTCAATTTTTTAATATGATTCAATCTTGTATTTTATGACTTCTATCTAGTGATCTCTATATAATTATAAGTTTTATCAAGCACTCTTTTCTTTTCTTCTCTAACCATTTCAGAAAAAATTATTTCATAATTCATTTTTTTTGGATTCTTAAACAAATTAAACATAATGTTCAGAAACTCTTTGTGGGGTAAAAGTATTTAAATAATGTTACAATTTCTATTAAATCTATTTAAATAATGGTAAAAAACTTCAAAATAAGAAACTTTCTTTTCCATCTCATTATTTTTATTTTATTTAAATATTGGCACAAAGTTTTAAAATAAAATTTATGTTTTTAAAAACTATGTCATGTGTTATATTTAAGAAATTGTGGCATGACTATGTTTTAGCAAATGATTAAGGAAAATAAATAAAGAAAGATGAAAATAGTTATCTAATAAATAGTGGAGTAAGAAAATTAATTTGGAACACAGATGTGTATAAATAAAATGCAAAAGTATTAAACAGACTATTCAAACAAATAGAATAATTGTATTTTACCAAGTAACAATAGAATACATGGTAGAGTATTTATAGACAAGAATACAAGCCCAACTAGAACTATAAAAGCAATAATAGAAACTGATTAAAATATAGATTCTACCATTTTTAATATCGACTATGATTAATATTTAACATTCCCTTCAAGTTGAACGTTGTGTCTCAAATAGAAACTTGGAAACAAAAGTTTGAAAACGTGGTTTGGACAATGACTTGGTCAATAATTCTGCTAGCTGGTCTTCACAGGAAGCGTGAGACAAGGTCATAGTACCAGCAATAACTTGCTTGCGAACAAAGTGACATTTTGTACCTACATGCTTCATACGCTTATTAAAGACTGGATAAAGAAAAAAAACTGGTAATTAATTCATGGGGAGGAAAAATACAAAAAAGCTATGCTCCGATACCATATTGAAACAAACCGAATAATTGTATTTTACCAAGTAACAATGGAATAATCCCATATTTAATAATTGTATTTTATAGATGGGAATTTAAGCCTAACTAGAACTAGATACGAAAGTAGTAATAGAAACTGACTAAATCATAGATTCTACCCATTCTCCCTATCAAATAAATTGTGAAATTATACCTGCTCTCCTAGCTCTGGGGAAGATAGAAGATAAGGTAGTGTGAGTAAAGATAAGGTAGAGTGAGTGAATGGTTGTTAAGATAATTGGGAAGGGGCCTATGGTTATGGGAACTAGGTACATCTAAAATGAAAAAATACTCCTAATATAATACTTCCTCTTCCTCAATTTGATTACTTCCTTTTCATAATTTTTTGTTTGTTTACACGATTTTATTAAATATTTGATAAAATAAAATATTTTTATCACATTTTGTTTTGTAGAACATTTGACGTCGTTTTTTAATATGTAATTTTTATTTTTGGACACTGTACGATTCTTAATTTATAAAATTAACGGTTCCTACCCCTCTTAAACAAACCGGTAAACCCCCACTCTCTCACGAACCCACCGCCCCACCCTCTTTAGAGTCAGAATGTTGACTATAATTTTCAAACTCCAATTGCTATATTCCTATTTCTATATATATTTGTTTTGTTCAGATTCCAAACATTTTCATTTACACAATCCAAATTGCATTAAAAATGAAGACAAATAGGCTCAAGTTATTCAAAATGTGTGGGGCACCCAATTGGGCACAAGTCTACATACTCTACTTGCTTGTGATGGCATTGAATGGAGTACAAGTCACTACTCTTCTCATAACAATTGCCACTCTCATTAAACTGCATGCCAGATTGAGGCATCTATGTATGGCAGCTGATCTCATCTTACCCAACTCAATCTCTTTATTAACTGTTGCACCAATACAAATAATAATTCCAACACAAGATAAATATGATGCATTGGCCTTTCCAAAGGGATTTCCCATTCTTTATTCTTTTTTTTGTATATTTTTAAACCCAAGATATTTATATATTCAACTTGCATCTCTGCAACTAGTGCAATGGAGTGTGGCTATTTGCCCAATGGCATGTGCAACAGATTGCCTAACATTTCGTCATATTCAATTCACTACAATAATAATTTATTACCCTAAGTTATAAAATTTATAATAAACTACAGTTATTTTCACATCGAGATACAAAAATCGAGGGTGGATGTGAGAAGAACTACATGTAAAATTGGCGAGGTTCTTTTAACACTGCATTCGGGTGTCATTATGACATCGAAAGTTGTTCTGTTCCCCTCGTTTAATGCCCAATAAATCCCTGTTTGCTACACAAAAATTAAGGACGAGTGTCAGAATATGAGATTTGAATCTCAATGTCAAGAGAAGCGCGATGCAGTAAAATATATGTTAATAAATCACCACTAACTTTCTTTCATTAATTAATAACTGCCATGGCCATATCTTCTGCATCTACTCTCCAATTTTTTTTACATTTAATTAACAGATCGAGTAGTAAATTGATAATTGTTTAAAATAATCTCAAGTTGGGAAAATTGTGGTGAAGAATGAACGAATTTGAGCCGCTGATTGAAAACCTTCCAAATTCTGCAATCATCATCATCTGACGTTGACCCACCCGTCGGAATCTGGAGTCCAATTGGGGGAGAATTTATGGCTGAACATTCCCTGCAGCCTACTCGCCGGCGACTGTTCAGATCCCGGCGAGGGAAAATACGCCGCTGACGGCGCCGCCAGAGGAGACTCTTCTTCTGAGACCCAGTCCGGGAAATCAAATGGGCATCTCGGAGACGGCGAGGGGGCTGATGGCGAGTACTCCTTGCTCAATGCAACAGTGCCGCCGCCGTCGCGGTGGTCGGTGGCGACGAAGGAGTGGTTCAGGAGCATCTCCGCCGTCCATCTCTTTCTGGGATCCTTGATGAAACACTTTTCAAGAAAATCTCTGCCCTGATCCGATAACTCGCCGGGAAATCCGGGCACCTCGTCTCCCACCCCAATTCTCATAAATAGCCCCGCCACGTCGGAGTACTTCCAGGCCGGGGCCCCACT